CACTCTTGGTTCACTCATATATCTGCTTAATAATCCTACAACGAAATCTATATCAGGTCGATGTTGCACACACACCTCAGAGATCCCACAATTTGCTTGAATAAAGTTACATCGACTTTATCTTCCTCTACATTCTTCTCCAATTTTACATTTGGTTCGACGGGTGAGGATGCAGGATTCGAATCATCCATTCTGAATCTCTTGAGTATTTATTTGACACACTTCCTTTAATGTAGCACCATACCTTGCTTTGACATTTGAAATTCCATACCTAAGAAATAAGACAATTTTCCCAGATCAGACATTTCAAATTCCTTCATCATCAGCTCTTTGAACTTCGACAAGTTCTCCAATCTATTTCCAATTACTAGCAAGTCATCAACATATAAGCAGGTGATTGTTATATCTTGTTCTACAACCTGGACATAGACACCATACTCAGATTTGCATTTGACAAACTCCAATTCGACTAAGTATGAGTCAACCTTCTTGTTCCATGCTCTAGGTGCCTGTTTGAGGCCATAAAGCGTTTTATGCAACTCATATACTTTACTCGCTTCCTTCTGAATCACAAACCCTGAAGGTTGTATTACATAGATCTCTTCGTCTAAAGGACCATTCAGAAATGCTGATTTCACATCTAAATGAAATGTCGACCAACCTTGGTTGTATGCCTATGCTACCACTAGTCGAGCAGTCTCCAATCTTGCTACTGGAGAAAATACTTCAGAGTAGTCAAGTCCTTCTCTTTGAAGAAACCCTCGAGCTACTAATATTGTTTATGTCTTGCTATCGAACCATCTGCATTGTGTTTCAACATGAACACCCACTTCACTTCAATAGCTTTTGTATGTGCTGGAAATTCGACTAACTCCCATGTGTTGTTTCTTTCTATTTCCTGTAACTCTTCGACCATAAATAACTTCCACTGTTTAGTCTTCAAAGCTTCGCTATAGTTAATTGGTTCAACACCTGCAAATAAAGCAAAATGAACTAATTCTCTATCTGGCGTGACTTCATCATCATCCACCACTTCATAATCATGAAGTCTTGTTGGAAGAACTCTATTTCTTTGAGGTCTTTGGCTTGTTTCAGCTACAGCCTCTTCGACTTTGAATGTGTCGTGGATGTCCGTAACTGATTCTTCTTCGACTTTGACTGTGTCGTGGATGTCCGCAACTGATTCTTCTTCGACTTTGACTGAATTCTCAACAATTCCTTCGACCTCTACTTCATCATTTTCTTCATCGACATTCGAACTCATCAATGACTTGTTAATTGAATTGCTAGAATTCTAATCCCAGGCAGAATTTTCATTAATCACAATATCTCGACTCAACACAATCTTCTCATTAACTGGATTGAATATATTGTATGCACCAGTTTTATGATATCCTATCAGAATCATAGGTTCACTCTTATCATCAAGCTTCCTTCTTCTTGCATCAAGAACACGCTTGTAACACATAGAGCCAAACACCTTAAAATGACTTATTGATGGTCGTTTGTCACTCCATACTTCTTCAGGAACTTTGTTATTCATTATCTTGGTAGGTCACCTATTCAAAATATAAACTGCAGTCAAATCATCTTCTCTCCATAAAGACTTTGACAAATTCTTTTGCTTCAACAAGCATCTCGCTATATCTAATATGGTTTTGTTTCTTCTTTCAGAAATTCCATTATGTTGAGGTGTATAAGGAGCAATTACCTCATGATCAACACCATGTTCTACACAGAAATCTTCAAACATCTTGGATGTGTATTCGCCACCTCCATCTGTTCGCAAAACTTTGATCTTCTTCTCACTTTGGTTTTCGACAAGCATCTTGAATCTCTTAAAAATTTAGAATACTTCGTCCTTTCGTTTGACCACATAGATCCACAACTTTCGATAAAACTCATCGACAAACGAAACAAAATATCTGTTTCTACCAATTGTATGTTCTTCGAATGGACCACATACATCTGAATGTACCACTTTGAGTATGCAAGATGATCTCATTTGCATAGTCGACACGAAATAATTTATGGATTGCTTTTCTACTAAATAACCTTCACAAAGTTTTTCAGGCATCTCAAGACTTGAAATTCCAGTAACCATATCTTGATTAATCAGTTGATTGAGTGATCGAAAATTCAAATGTCCAAATCTCAAATACCACAACCAACTATCCTTGTGGTCGACAATAGTTTTCAAAAATTGAACTTTTGTCGAACTGATCATAGTCTTAAATGTCATGTTCTTCGACAACAGAGATTTTAAGACCAAATTGTTCTTGGTGTCCAACAATTTCAAAACTCCATCTTTCATGACAATTGAGAAACCTTTTTCGACTAGTTCTCCAACACTTAACAAGTTGCACTTTATTCCAAGTACATAAAACACATATTTGATCATAGCTTTTCCTCTATTACTCATTTGGAAGACTATATTTCAAGTACCTTATGCTTGCAACGAACTATTATCAGCAAGTTTTACCATGCTCTTGTTCGACTCATCAAAATCTTCCAACCACTCCTTTCGACCAGTCATATGGTTCGAGCAGCCTGAGTCGAGAAACCAGATTTTGGATTCGACATGGTTATCTGCATCTGCAACCATAACAACCATACCACCTTAAGAATGATCTAAATCTTAGCGTGCAAGGTTCGCTCCTTCGTTCTTGCTTGTTGATCCTCTGTCTTTTCTATACCAACAATTCTTGGCTACGTGACCCCACTTTTCACAGTTATAGCACTGCACACCTTTTTTAGCTTCTTTGCCTTTTCGATAGTTTCCTCTTCCTCCTTTCGAGGATTCAGAAGCTCCATCTTTAACCTGATATTTGTGAGATTTCGACCAAGACTTCTTGCCCTGAGTCTTGTCGAACCTGCCTTTGAATTTGTTGGAACCACCATCCTTTTTCCATGACTGAGCTTGCAGAGCCTGTATCGAGTCTTGCACTCCTTTCCTTTTGACAATCCTCATCCCATGCGCCTCCAACGAACCAATCAAATATTCCACTTTAGTGGTTTCAAGATTGTTGAATTCTTGAATAGCTACGATAATGTGATCAAAGTGAGAGATCAACGTTCTCATTACCTTCTCAACTATCATCTTATCAGTTATGGTTTCACCATAATCTTTCATGAGATGGACGAGTTTCTGAACCTTCGACATATATTCTACAACTTTTTCATCTTCTCTCATCGACAACAACTGATATTGTCGACGCAAGATTTGTAACTTGACAACCTTGACTTTCTCACCTCTGTCGTAATATTTCACCAGAATATTCCATGCCTCCTTCACCGTTTCAGCATGAGAGATTCTGTCGAAATTAACAACATCAATCACCGTCTGAATGCAATAAGCAGCCTTGCAATCTTTCTTCTTGACTTCATTGTGGGTTTTTTTTATTCGTCGGTTGCATTTGCAGCCAACGTAGGAACGTCGTTGGTAACCACTATTAGATTTTCATGGAAGCCAAACAAGGACTGCATATGTTTTTTTCATCGGATCCAATTCTTGCCGTCAAGCATTAAAAAAGAATTCACAATGCCCTTATCCCTAGCCATCTTTGTAGCAGTTGATTCACTTGTCCTAGAAACACGATCTCTGACGTAAAATTCTTGAAAACTCGATCAAGAACAATAATCGTAAGCTCTGAATACTAATTTGTTAGTGCGTGAAACACTTTTAGTGAGAAGAGAAAGAAGAAATAATAAAAAAAAAGTTTTATATTATTAAACTGTACAAATAATAATACAGACTAAAACTATTTATATACAACTCTAATTAAATTTAAATCTACACAACTTAAATTATATTTAAATATTAAAACTAATCTAATTTAATATTTCACCAACTAATAATTAATATAGATATATAAGTTCTATAGACACAAAAGCACATTACCATTATTATTAAAAAAAAGAAGAGCATATTACCAAAACATACCATTTTCAACAAATATTTTTAATTAGTTTATATTAATAATCATGTCGGTCTTATAAATTTAACCGTACTCATAAATTTCAGTTAATTAAAGACGAGTCAAGATCATATTCATTTCTTAGAAAATGGAGGCTCTTATTCAATAGTGATTCACACAAATTCCATAACTCCCCTTTGAATGTCAAAACAAAATTTATTTTCCCATAGATTACTTTACGCCTTGCATTCTGTATTATGTATTACTATAATAATAAATTTTAATTGAACAAAAATTTAAAATTCAAGCATAGATTTAACTTGCATATTCTACAACATATTTAAATTTGTTTAAGAAATAGTTCATACAACACACATTCTATTATTAAATCTTCGAATCTGCTAATTGATGTTTCGGCACAGGTACTATCTATCAACTCTGAACTGATTTAACCTGACATAACACACATTGTGCCTATATTTTTATTTATTTTGTTTGAGAATTAATATTAAAAAATGTACACAAAAAAAGAAACCGACATTGAATGAAAAGAACACAAATGGTTATGAACAATAAAGTGGTTTCTATATCAAAACAAGAGGAAGATACGTTATTGTCAACCACCCATAAAAATACAAAACCGTGACATAAGATAATGCTTCTAAAAAAAGTAAATTTCACCAACTTTTTTATTTATTATTTTCCATTTTCATATATATTTTCACACCACTCATGCAAATTACTACTTTTTTACGCCGTTGTTGGAAACTCAGACAAAAGCACACCAACAAATTAATAACGCAAACATTAAATACATAACAGATCTCTTTCTTCTTCTTCTTCTTCTGAGTTGCTTCGTAACTCGTTACCGCATTGACTCGGTTCTGTTCTTACACGCTACGTTACACTCTTTTGCTTCACACTAACGAGTTCAACGGTTTTTGTTTTTTATTTTAAGCATTGATTTGTTTATGTTGTCTCAGTTGGTGAAGTAGTTGTTTGTTTGGGATTATGAAATCATTTTTGAGCTTATTTGAAACGTGGTTTTGTGAATTGTGATGTGGAGTGAGTCAGTCAGTGAAGATGTTTCGTTCTGCAAAATGGAAGACTGAGAAAAACAGAATTAAAGCTGTTTTCAAACTTCAATTCAATGCCTCTAAGGTAGATTCAAACAATTTGCATCGATTTTTCCTTTACTTTATAGTATTTTTTCTGAATTTTTCTTCTTCTGGATTTTAATTGAAATATAAGTAATGGTTTTAATTGAAGGTGGATTTTGCAATGGAGTGCTAATTTTGATTATTTATGGTATTAGGTTTGAAATTGTTGAATTTGTATAAGATGAGAGATTGTGTTTGGTGATGAAAATTTTCAGGTGTTACAATCTGGAGTAGATGCATTGGTGTTATCAATAATTCCTGGTGACATTGGAAGGCCAACTAAGAGATTAGAGAAAGCTACGGTTCGAGATGGAAATTGTCGGTGGGAGAATCCGGTATTCGAAACTGTCAAGTATTTTCAGGATCCTAAAACCGGGAAAATCGCCGATAAAATATATCGTTTTTTGCTATCGACGGTATAGATATAAATTTTCTCAGTTCATACAAGTTATTGTTAATTTGTGTATTTTTGTGTTTGTTATGTAATTTAAGGATTTTATGCAGGGGTTATCAAAAGCTAGCGCGATCGGAGAGGTTTCGATGAACTTTGCTGATTATGTAGATGCCACGAAGCCCTCTTCGGTTTCTCTTCCCATCAGGATTCCACATTGTGATGCTGTTTTGCATGTTAGTATTTGCTCTCTTTCTCTCTTTTACTTGTTTAGATGTGAAGTTGCTTGAAGTTTAAACGACATCGAAACTTTGAGTAAAGCGTAAGTCAAAGCAATGTTGATGTCATTGAGTTTGATTTGTTGCTTAATAAACAGGTATCTGTCCAAAGGATTCAAGAAAACAGTGATCAAAGGTACTACAAAAGGAATTCACATTTGTTATTTTTCCGATTAGATTTGCTATGAATTGGAGTTTTTGATGACGTGTTCGATAACATTTGCAGAGAGAAAGATGAATGTGATGATAATGCCAAACAAAAATTCGATGATAGGAGCTTAAGGAACCAATTAAACAACGGCGATACAGATGAAAGTACTAAGAGTTATTTTTCTGAAGTAAGGATTTCTTTTGTTTGATTGCGATGAAAGTTGAAATACGTGAAAACGATTAAATTTTCTGTTTCTGTGTTTAATAGGACGTTTCTGCCAAAGCAATCATCGATAGGACGTCTAGTGGATCTGACATTACATTGTCGACGAGCTCTGATGACAGCTCTGGAGTTGATACTCCCTGTGACTGTGACAATGGACTGAGAAAGACAAACATTAACGCCACCACAAATCAGTTTGTTCCAGTTATGCACCGTGCCGCAGAATCTCCAAGTCGTGCTGTCAATACCTCGACAACGACGCATGATTTACAACAAAGATCACAATGGGGTTGGTCCTCTAGCTCAGAGCTCGGGTTAAGTATGGGCGATTCAACAAATGGTTCTCATAACGTCCTTTCAAAGGAAACGTCACTAGATGCGTCTCATTCGGAGATTGAGAGACTCAAGGCTGAACTGGCTGCTATGGCGAGGCATGTGGATGTGTCGGACATGGAACTACAGACTCTTAGGAAGCAAATTGTAAAGGAAAGCAAAAGAGGGCAGGATCTCTCGAAGGAAATCATTATCTTGAAAGATGAAAGAGATGGACTCAAGACGGAATGTGACTATATTAGGTCTTTCCATAAACGCATGGATGACGCTAAAGTGAGAAACAGGTCACAGTTGGAAAGTGGAGATGTTCATGCTTTTGTCGAGGAAATTAGACAAGAATTGAATTATGAGAAAGACACGAACGCAAATCTCCGATTACAGTTAAAAAAGATGCAAGAATCAAATGCTGAATTGGTTCTTGCTGTGCAGGACCTGGAAGAAATGTTGGAGCAGAAAAATATGGATACGTGTAGTCACTCCAATAAACACGAGCCGTGCAAAAATTCACAAGATTTAAGGAGGAATCTCTCAAAGTGTGAAACAGATGATGATGAAGATCAGAAAGCATTAGACGAGCTTGTTAAGGAGAACGGCGATGCCAAGGAGACACAATTGCTTGAGAAAAAAATTATAGACTTGTATGGTGAAATTGAAATGTATAGGAGAGACAAAGAGGAGTTAGAGATGCAGATAGAGCAGATTGCACTAGACTATGAAATATTAAAACAGGAAAACCACGGCATTGCGAGTAAGCTAGAGCAAAGCCAGCTGCAAGAACAGTTAAACATGCAATGTGATTGTTCATCTCCTCCTGCTGCTATGAATGACATTGAAAATCACATTGAGAATCTGGAAAAAGAACTCAAGGAACAGTCGGAAGATTTCTCAAATTCTCTAGCTACCATTAAGGTACTAGAAACCCATATCAGAAGATTAGAAGAGGAAATGGAGAAACAAACACAGGGATTTGAGGCTGATATAGAAGCGGTGGCACGCGAAAAAGTTGAGCAAGAGCAAAGAGCCATTCAAGCTGAGGAAACTTTGCGAAAGACCAGACTAAAAAATGCTAATACTGCTGAGAGGCTTCAAGAGGAATTCCAAAGGCTCTCATTGCAAATGACATCTTCTTTTGATGAAAATGAGAAGGCTACCATGAGAGCACTGACAGAAGCGAGTGAATTGCGTCTACAGAAAAGTCTAGTGGAAGGAATGCTGCTTAAAGTCCAAGAAGAGCTTGAGTCAACTAAAGCTGATTACGAGGTAAAAATGGGCAACCTTTCAAACCAAATGGATACAATGACAGTTCAGATACAACAAATGTTAGTGGAAATTGAAGACAAGTCCAAGAAGCTCGAAAATCAGAAGAAGCTTGGGGAACAAGTTAATAGGGATTTCACTGAGGAGTTCGAGATGCTAAAATCTGAGAATGGAAAACTCAAAGTGGAAATAATGCAGATGTTGATGGAAATTGAAGACAAGTCCAAGCAGCTTGAAAATCAGAAGAAGCTTGGGGAACAAGTTAATTGGGATTTCTCTAAGGAGATCGAGATGCTTAAAGCCGAGAATGAAAATCTTACAACAGATATTTTACGCTTAAATGAACAAGTAGGAGGAAAAGAAATCTTGAGAACTGAATTGGAACTTATGAAGAAATCTATTGAGGAATATGAAATACTGTTACGTCAAGGAACCGTGGAAAGAAATGAACTTGTGAGTACAGTTGCATTATTGAAGAAGGAAGTGGAACAATCACTTAACGAGCTAAGTAGGATGAGAAATCTCAAGGATGAAAAAGAAGAAGAGGCTAGACTCTTGAAGTCAGAGTTGGAAGCTATTAGATCTCAATGCAGTGATTTGAAACAATCACTTTCTGAGGATGAGGCTGAGAAAGAAAAACTAAGAAAGCAAATTTCTCAGCTAAAGAACGAAATAAAGAAGAAGGGTGATGCATTAACAAGTTTCGAGAAGAGGTTCAGGGATAGTAATGGCCGCAACCAACATTCTGATGGAGCTAAAACCATTCAAATCATCAAAAGAACTACTTCCAGTCCTCAGAATTCAAAGGAAATGGCAAGTCTCAGGGAGAAAATAAAAATGCTTGAGGTAATTATTCTAGCATCAATGAAACGAAAACTTGAATTTTGCTTTCTCTAGTAATATTTCAAAACATATACTATATATCCATTCTATTTTATCCTTTTTAGTTTAATACAAAAGGGATGTTTATGACAGGGACTAATAAAATCAAAGGAAACTGCGTTGGAAACTTCAACACTTTCATCTTTGAAGAAGGAAACGGAACTCCATAGTAGAATTGCTGAGCTTGAGAACAACGTGGAGGAATTGAATCGGAATGTTACTTTACACGAGGTAGATAAAAAAACAGTAATGATGAATGAACACGATATTTTCAATATATTGACATTGTTGATATGCCCTTCAAATTGGTTTTTCAGGAAAGAAGTATTACAAATTCAAATGAGATATCAGACGAATTAAGAAATAGATTGGAAGATGCAGACAACAATCTTAGTAACGCGTTGGCTGAATTGTCGTCATTGAAGGAAAGAAACAAATTAATGGAAAATGAACTCAAAGAGATGCAAGAGAGATACTCAGAAATGAGTCTCAAATTTGCTGAGGTAGAAGGTGAAAGACAAATTCTTGTTATGACTGTAAGAAACCTCAAGAGTTTCCACAAGGGCTGAGAGTTTCCTCTTGATATCATGGAGCCTGCAGTGTATAGTTGTATAGCAGGTGTATTTTGCAACAGTGAAACACAATTTATAATGAATAAATTAATGTATATAATGGTAAAATATGTGTGTTCTCCCCTCCCTTCTTGATTTTTGCAATGTTAACTTTTTAGTTTTTTACTTTTATGCAAAAGTGATTGCTTAGAAGATATATAGCAATGCAGAGTTAAAAAGATTTAAGATTCGTGTTGAGGTGCTTTCAAGAGATGCATCAGAGTTATTAATATGTTATGTTATTACTTCCAAATAGTCCAATACATTGCTTAATATGGAGAAGCATAATCCATATGAAACATGTTGATAATTGCATAAGCTTTTGTTGGATTATTGTACATGCCTAATTGGAGTGTGGCATATTTGTTGATTAATTTGTGTTTTAAGTATGAAGGCTCATTATCTAAAAATTCTGAGTCATGGATTTAAATTCTCCACCCCTTGAAAACAACTTAGTTTTCCTCTGTCCCTCTCAAGTCCCAACACAGTTTTTCTTTTACCCATTTGTGACGTGACTTGGAATGTAGCATTTTTTTTTTGTTTCTTTTGGTTAAAAATCTCCATTTGAAGTGGAACTATACATGCCATCATAGTTTGTACAGAGTTGATCAAGGATCAAAATGGAAGAAAGATTGCTTGGTTTGATGCATAGGTTAAAAGATGGTGAATTTTCATGAAAATTTGCAAGAATCAAAATTCATTCCTACATACGACATCAATCTTCTAATTTGCAAGAATCCAGTTTTATTAATATATATAATTATGTTAAATATTTATAATAATTAAATAATATTAAGTTTATAAAAATGAAATTTTGTTAAATTTAAAGAATGGACATATATTTTTTTAAATTATTAATATCGTAGTTTTACCAACTGCTACATAAATATCTTCTATGTTTAATATGATAAAAAAAATAGAATTATATATTCTATAATTGTAATATTTCTCTTTAATGCAATTTTAATTAAACTTATTTATTATTAATCATATAACATAATAGTTTAATAAATTTAAAAAGTTAAAAAACTAATTATACAATAAAATAATACTATAAATTAATGAAAATTTTGGAAGAAAAAAAACATGTTATCAAATAAAAATAAAATTATAATTCACATTATTAGAATTCATATGGTCTGATTATTGATTCACTGGTCCAACCAGTAACTCACTGATCAAATAGTTTGATCGGGTCGATAACCAATCAGAGTTTTAAAACATTGAGTAATCGCTATTACAAATTTATTTTTAAAAATAAAAAACCAAAATAAATTTAAATTTCATTTTCAAAAAAGCCTAATTTCTAGTATTTTTTTAAACCAGAATAATATTTTTTATATAAATTATAGAGCTTACATTTTGAAAAACAAGTTGACCCATGACGAACACCATGTGCTGGTCTTCCCAACTCACGTAGGATCCTGACAGTTATCTATTGTGGGCCTAAAAATTCAGTCTACAATGGAGACCTTGGTCCAGCGTTGGGGGCACTATAAATACCATATTTCACTAGAGGATCAGGTATTCTATTCATTCTCACCTATTATGTATTTGTTTTGTCTCCCTTTAGACTTTACTTTGGCATCAAAATATCTTGCAGGTACACCCCTCATTTTCTCCAACAACTGTAGAAGCTCAAGTGTTGCATGCCACTAAAGATCCTCTTGACCGCGATAAGATCAGTGGTGTCATATGTGGAAATCCTTTGCTCCCCTGTTTTTTTCTGACTCTAAAGACCAAATCAAATTCATCCTCAAAACCTACCAATCATCACAGCGAGCCAATACGACAACGGTAACGCCTACGAGACTATCTTCACAACCTTCACATACGACATCAACCTCAACAACAATGAAACAGTTGGGCACGAACAAGGCGACCCCATGGATGGGCTAACCACCTCCTCCTTGTCTCACGACGTGGTCGACAACGATTGACAATAGTTTGAGAATTCTAGAATGTATCAAGAAATTCATGTACCAGCTAATGTTGACCCTATTATGGTGGCCCTGTTCGCGTCTATCAATCAGACCAACACTATGCCAAACAAGACATTAGACAACATTTTTTTTTGGCTTTTAACAGTGCTGCTAAAAGTAAAGACAACGTTTTTTTTCAATGTAAAAGCGTTGTTTTATGCCCACTTTAGGCAGCGCTTTTACATTAAAAGCACTTTCTTATGCACCCCCTTTAGACAACACTTTTAAAATAGACAGCGCTTTTTTATATACCCCTTTAGCAGCGCTTTTGCTTTAGACAGCGCTTTATGTTATTTTTTAAGTTAGGCTTTAGAAATCCATACCGTGAATGGAATCTCTAATCGATCCAAAAGAATAGTTTCTTTCATAAACCTCAACATGAAATAGCCGCAATCTATACCGTTACGCTGGAGAGGACACTACACATGAAAAGAAAATACGAATATATATCAGGATATACCCCTTAAATTGTTTTATCAAGTATCATTACTAATGTAATCAAAACTGAATATCTCTTTGTGAAAATATACCTCCACTCTGATCCATGTAACATTGTTGGCTCTACTTGTTGGCACTTGAATATCTCTTTAGGAGTGAAAAGCTAGTAGAACGCTATAATATAAACGACTGTTTAGAACAATTTCACATAGAAATATAAACATAAACACAAATCCATATATATATATATATATATATATATATATATATATATATATATATATATATATATATATATATATATATATATATATATATATATATATATATATATATATATATATATATATATATATATATATATATATATATATATATATATATTTGGGAGCGAAAAACTTACGTGTCAATCATCTTCTTCAAATCTGGATATGTTGACCAATCATTGTATAACGAATCCAGATAATACACAGTATCTCTTACAGGATTAATCACAACCAATAACCAGTGTCCATTGTAAGATTAAACAATGGCCAAAAACGGAAAATTATAATAGATCAAGTTAGGATGAAAACCTAAGCCGTTGCCAGTATTATATGATAAAAAGAACAACTTTTCAGTATCTTTACTGGCCATGAATAAACCGAGTACATATGCTATGACATCATCTAGTCTTGTTATAATTAACCCTAAATTGACAGTGTTGGGAGCTAAGAAGCCAAATCTTGCTTCTAATCCACGCGGACACACAATGTTGTCATACAGAAACCTTAAATTAAAACATCATTAACATTATACTATATTCATTGAAATGAGGAAATAAATTGTTCATCTAATTAAACAAAGTTGATAGGAGTATACCTGATGTATGTACCGATAACACCGAGGCCTAATTCCAAATGTCTAAAAACTTGCTCCATATCCTCTCTACCAATTGCTTCCAGGTATTCAAAACCAAAGATGTCTGCACTCATAGGTATAAGGCGGGTACCACCATCCAGAATATTTGTTATTCCTAAATACTATGTCCGAAGGCACGAATATCTAATGTTCGACTAAGTATTCTCCTGCAATCATTATCTTCATCTGAAGGTATAGACTGAGAAAGAGTCTCCTGAAATTCATATGAATATTGTAATTAGAGAATGATATGTTAATAAAATAATGATGTAATTAAAAAATAAAAAATGATGTAATTAAATAAATAATGTTATACTTACACATCTCTCAAAAATTTGTTGAACATTTTCTTTAACAGCTCCATTCTTACACACACGGACTTCCTTTCACAAAACATGTTCCAGAAGAGATGTTTCAGAACTATTCTCCTTTATTAACTACACATTAAGCCAAATAACATGATCAAATATAAGCGTGCATATATTATAGATACTTTGCAATTTATAGATACTTACAATAGATTGTTGTAAGCGTGCATATCCCATACGCCCTTTTCTGTATGGATATGCGGAACTTGAAGCTCGTTGTCGATTTACGACGCTTAAAATCTCAAATTTCTGGGTTTTTCTTTTGGATTTAAAAGTTTCTCATTCTTCAGGTGTAATCAAATCTGTATATTTATTTGGAAGCTCTGCATCAACAAAATTTTTATTCGCATCTATAAGAAACTTGTTTGATAAAAAATCTCTAAACCCTCTATGTAATTTTCCGGCCAATTTAACTATATAATCTCTCCTGGTATCCTCAATGTTGAACGACCTCTACGAAAAATCATACACAAAGTGCGTTAGTATAAGTAATTTAAAGACATAATCGTCATTAAAAATAAATAACATCACATATGGTACCTGTATCTCACTCCACATTTTATCTTTAGCGTTGTTCAACACTTTTGCTCTCCAATCTTCACAAGTAATTGGAATTTCTCTCCTTACCACCGAACCAAGATAACTCGTCAACGTTGAACCGTTAGTCTCAATTAGTTGGCCTTCTTGACTCCAATGCACATCATACTTTATGCCTCGATCTCTATCTCGAATGATTCTCTTCATAATTGTTATTCCTCATCTAATTTCCATTTCCGTTTTATTAACGGGCTCATCTCCATCACGCCTAGAATCATCATGTGGGTGATCCTCGTTAGTAGCCATCTAACCTGTTATAAACATAAACATAAACCCAATATAAAATTCCATAATCATTTGAATATATATAAAATGACAAACACAAACATTAACATAAACATAAACTTAAACGTAAACACAAACACAAACATAAACATAAACATAAACATAAACATTTTAATATATTACCTCTTTCACTAACATCTCTTTCTTTTCTTGGTTGGAACATGAATTACTTGTTTCTTAATAATACGGACGAATGGATTTATCCAAATTCCCTCATTATGATCATTTCTGATATATGATTCATCCGCTATAATATTCTCGTCTTGATCATTTATAATATACGACTCATTCTGTCTAACACATGACTCATTCTCATCATTAATATTACCTTGGTCTACACCATTATCATCAACCACTTTATTAGATAAAATCACTATAGACCATTTTG